GGTCGATGAATTGTTCTATTATTGAATAGTAATTGTGATTATCGGATGGAATAGACAATACCTGGATTTGCGTCAGGAGAATCAATTATATCTGTAATTTTGCCCAACCTGTCGTGAAAATGTACTGAATAATCAGTGCGTTTGAAAACACTTGCAAAATATATTTGCAAGTTGTTCTCCGGTGGGACTCGAACCCACGATCTGCAGATCATTAGCCTGGCATTATACCTCTATACCGCCGAGATTGCGCCTGATGGCTAGGGTTGAATTCGAGCCCAAGTAAGCAAGTGTTTTCACACGCACTGAGTATTCAGTACATCACGACAGGTTGGGCAAAATTACACCTACACATGTTCTATTGTCAATATTATACTATATCATAGAATCATGAAATGCCTAATAGACCCTAAACGATAACATATATAGGACTTGACCATAGTTTGTTCTCAATATCCTTGAATTAAAAAAAAAAATAGCTTTTTGATATTTCTGAGCGTTGATGCCGGATCTGTTTTAAAAAATCTCAGAATGTATGAGCATTAAGAGTTTCACCTGAGTAGACCCACGAAGGCTCTGTCTCTAGGTCCGATCAGGTGCATTTTTACCAATTTTACTTAGGGCCCGGCAGCGATCTAGACTATGCTGATGAAATGAGAGTCCACACCACGTCAGCGGCACTGTGGTTGTTGGCGGTGACACGAAAATTTCAGTATTTTTACCGCTTGATGCCCGAAAATGGAACTTAAAAATTACCTTTTTTGTATATATTTGACGAATTTAGTGTAAAAAACCCAAAATAATTAAATAGGTACCAGACAATGGCACTTCAATATTTACAATTCCAAAAACTACCATATCCACTTGAGCCCCACTGTGGTTGGGGCTCAGGTGAGAAAATTTTGTGAATTTGAGACTCGCATAAATTAAGTCCTATCTCTCAAGAATCTGTTCATTCATCTTTTTATAGTTATTCCGTAATAAGCAATACCGTATATACGAACATGATTAAAACATCTAAAATTTGAATGTCGTGCATATAAGACGACCCCCCTGTTTTTCGATCGTAATTTGCTATTTTTAGCCTCGTCTTATACGCTAGCATATACGATATTTGTTTTCAAACCCTAGGTCATCTGAGCGTTAGAGGATTGCCCCATGCAGTGGCGGATTCAAGGGGAACCACAGCCCGGGCCCCCTTAAATATTTAAAAATTATTTTTTTTGGAGAGAAAAAAACTGAAAATTATATTCAAATCCTGAGATTGCCGTTTTGGGCCATCTTATAGAAACAATAGAAAGCGGTGACATAATATACAATCGGTGAGCAGTGTCTACCGTAGTGACGGGAGACACTGCTCACAGGTTGTATACTATGTCACGGCTTTCTATTGTTTTTATATTATACTGTATTATCATGATGCCAGTGTCTACCGTCACTACACGTTGAGAAAGCTCGCAGGTGCGACCGTAATACTCGTGATCAATAAAAGTTATATGTTTCGTTATACTTCAAATTGGTATTTCATTTGTCTACTTATGCTGTTCAACTATATAATCCGAAACATACGTGCACCCATCACATTGATGCCTATATATATATACTGTCTCTTATACACATCTAGATGTGTATAAGAGACAGATATAATACTAATAATATTATTATTTAAGAATCTATTGAGATCCAGCGGGCCTTCATTGATGTACGGTAGAGATTGCATCTTTAGATCTCCGATCTTGTTCACAAATTCACGGAATAGGCCTAGTGCTGTCTGTAAGAATTTCGTAGGACGCGTTAAGAACACAAAATATTTCTGTATCTACTGGAACCGAGCCGCATAGCTTGTGTTCCACTATTAGCATTCACACCTGGGCTGTGTATATATTGCTTTAGTTTGGCTCTGTAAGCATTAGTGGTCGTTTGACTAGTCTGGGCTCTGCCTAAGCTGGTCCAACGTTTTGTTTGGATCTATACCCTAGCTGAACTGATGAGGACTGGAAAGCCGAAACGGATCCGTCTGCAGATATTGGACATTCAGTGGATGCTTGGTTTATTTTGTTATTCTGATCGGATTTTTTCTATTGTACCGTTTTTATTCTATATTTTTTTGCATTATGTGGCCGTTTGCTGTTTTTATGGGTTTTACCAATTTGCTTATTTAAATTTATATATATAATATATATATATATATATATATATATATATGTGTGTGTGTGTGTGTGTGTGTGTGTGTGTGTGTGTGGTATATATATATATATATATATATATGGGTGGGTGTGTGTGTGTGTGTGTGTGCATATATATATATATATATATAATATTATTTTGTTTAATAAGAGCAATACCACGGTCATTTATAATATCAAAATTAGCACACATAAAATTGCCAAAACAAACACTCATTCAATTAAAACAATTGGAGAAGCGACTATGCCGACACCGACAGCTATTTCCGTCATCATTTTATACTGCAGGTGCCATGTTATAAAAATGTGCTCCATCAGTCACAAAGATGTTTGCATGGAAATTTTAAATACTGTATCCGTCCGGAAGAGGGACAAGGGTAGCCGGGCCCTGCATGTTTCCATTGTTACGGTAGTGCCAAGTGAAGCACTGGGCCTCATTTCAAAGGGCCCCCCTCCTACTAATACAAGAACTCTACAACGGAGCCTTGACACTACGGTTAACTTAAGTTAAGGACACCAAACACTACGTAAAGTAAAACGTTGTTTTTTGTAGTCCCACGACAACACTTTCTTAATGCAATATCAATTCCCAACTAAGAAGTGTTCGACATGGCAGGCCTACTAAACTCAGTGGAGGCGAACGGAGGGAGTAGAGCTCTTTATATTGTGGGCGTACGCCCCTCGCGCGCCTCTAGAATCGCCACTGCTCTCGTCGCCCCACTATTTGAGAAAGTCTTTGGCTACGTTCAGACTTGGAGATAAGCCAGGCTTGAGTTAAGCCCGGCTCAACGTTAAGCACGGCTTAACTTTGGCAGGTGTTCAGACTACCGGGATTAGCCAGGCGCGTGAATTTTCATAATAATGAACCGTAACCAGCAAACGTGTTTCAAAACATTGCTCGGTCACAGCGTAAGTAATTGAATGCTGATTGGTCATTTTGTTACACAAAGTCAATGTCAGACACCCCGCAACGATTAAAGCCCGGCTTAGAAAAGTTAAACACGGTGGCACGCCAGGCCAATTTTTATTGTTAAATTTTACAAGAATATACTGCACATTTGCTAATACAGTACCACTATCCCACAGCAATAAGTGACTAGTACCCTACTGTGTCACAGTAATAACCATTTGTTTCTTAATTAAAGTCATGGTACCTTAAGAAGTCATACAAAGAGTATTATTGTTTTAATCGTCTATTATCGACTATTATAGTCGTACGAAGACGATTAAGTTTAAATTAATTGGGGACAGTCAAATCGTAAATATTATCTTAACATGCTTAATATTCTTCAACGATAAATGGCATCTAACTTCGTAGTATGATGCTGTCTGAGTTGCCCTTAAAGAAAATTATATTTAAATCTTTGAAAAAAAACATATTCTATTATTGAAGTATGTGCCTTAAAGTTTTTTTCAAACTTACTTTTGTTCTCCATCCATACACCGTTGTTTGGTGTTGTTCCTTATTATTTAGCAAAATGTTAAATTGTTTTAGTTTAAGCCCAATTTTAACCTAGGCAATTACTGTACTCTATTACACAACATTCAATTTAATATTTTGCATATCAAAAGTAATACATTATTAATGTAGATTGCTCTGGGAAGAACAGTTGTTTCAACTATCCACATGGTATTCAAGTATTTACATTTTTAAAATTTACCATACAATTAAATTTAAAATAATATTTCAGTCTTCTTTGTTTCAAATATTTTTGTTTTGTTTTTATCTTTCACAAAGGTTCTTGAATACCTTGCTTCAATACCTCTGGTCCGACAAGAAAAGACCTGGCTAAGGAGTAGAGCATCAATTAATTTATCACCAAGAAAGTTACTGATTTAAACCGAATCCTGTAACGCGAAAGATTCTTCATTAAGCTAAGTGTGCAATATTAGGTCAGTTAAGACGACAGTATTGCATAGGTATATTTTTAAATCGAGACATAGTAGCTGTTGTTCTATGACAAAAACTCTGATTTAAACATTCCTGTATAGTACAATGCATAATATTTTATGTTTTTTGCAAGTTTCAATTAAAGAAAAATGGTCAACTATATTTTGAACTCAGTGTATTTTGTAAGTTTAAAGGATTAAACATTGACATTGACTCAACATTGAACATTTTACATTGAATTAACATTGAACATACTACATTGAATCGACGTTGAAATTTACGTTGATGCAAACTTTCATTCACAACCAAAATTCAACGTTGATTTAACATTGATCGTTTGACGTTCTTATAACGTTAAATAATTGATGTTGAAACAGCTTTAGACATTTTACGTTGAATCAACGTTGAAATTTACGTTGATGAAAACTTTCATATTCAACTAAAACTCAACGCTGATTCAACATTGATCATTTGAAGTTGTTTTAACGTTAAACATTGACGTTGAAACAACTTTAGGCGTTTGACGTTGAATCAACGTTGGAATTTACGTTGATGAAAACTTTCATATACAACCAAAATTCAATGTTAATTCAACATTAGTCATTTGACGTTGTTCCAACGTTGAAAAATTAGCGTTGAAAGAACCTTAGACGTTTTACGTTGAATCAACGGTGAGATTTACGTTGATGCAAACTTTCATATACAACAAAAATTAAACGTAGATTCAATGTTTGCATATTACGTTGAATCAACGTTATTTCAACCAAGTTGTGCCCACTGGGTAGTTGCTATAGGAACACAGTCCGTCTTGAGATAAGCCACCTAGTTCAGACTGACAGGTGGATAAACCCGGTGAGTTAAGCCGGGTTTATCCACCTAGTCTGAACTAGGCCTAGGACTCACGATAATAATATAAGACTACTTACTTAGTATAACAGCAGTAAAAGTGACCATCGTCAGAATACTAGTGGCGGTCATTTTGAACGAGTAGTTACCTTCTACCTAAAATTGTCAATGCAGTCAGGCACAGAGTAGAGCTAATGTTATTACATGTGTTATCTTGAAGAGTAAATTGACAAATGACTGGTAAAATGAAGTGATTTTTCAACTTATATAGGATCATTCAATGTACACATTTTTGTGTGTTAAGTAAGATTACGTGCTTAATTTAAAAAAGAAAAAAAAAATCCCGGACGGGTGCAACCCGGAAAACGTTGCTATGAAGAGTAGGCGTGGTTATATGGTGCTCGAATTAAACACCCAGGTGGGGACAATGCTTGATGTCAGCTTTAACTTAATAAATATTATTCAAGCACCAATAAAAACAAAATGCCGAATATGATTGGTGAGAAACTAGGCCTACACCCACGTACGGACATTACATCATGGGGCTACAATTCAGTGATTGGATCTTTATACTTTCTAACACTTTATTCCGGTGTAAGTGAATTATGTATTAGTAACCTAGTATTATAATAACAATAATAAACAAACATTTTGTTGTCACGTCCGAAAGATCCCGTCAGTGCTCTCCGTTAGGTGGTAAGTGTCACATTTTGCATTTAATGGTGTTATACGGCACAAAGACTAAATCTACCTGCATTTTTGTTCAGAGAAAACAAACTCAACAATATTATAATAATAATTCTACTTTTTATTGGCTTAATGATTTGTTTTGTTTTGTGTGCCTTTTCGTTGTTAAAAATTTTGTATGTAAATACAGTGATGTTGCAATCTGGAATCCCCACTCTTGTAAGAATGCTTAATGGATAATAATAATAATAATTATTATTATTATTATAATTATAATTATAATAATACCGGAATTTTTGGTGTTAACAAATAAATAGTAATGAATTAATAATAAAAGTTAACAAATAATAATAATAATAATAATAATAATAATAATAATAATAATTTTATTTAATAATAATGTAATATACAAAATAATATTAAAATAACAATTACAAAATAATAATAGTATAATAAAAATAATAATAACAATAATAATAATAATAATAATAATAATAAAAATAATAATAATAATTAAGGCCATATCAATTTAATTGTTTGTCTCAAAGCTCTCATGTTACCTTTAATTTTTATGTTGTCTGACATCATTAAAAACAATCTTAGGCCATATTAATTTAATTGCTAGTTTCAAAGATCCCGCGCGCATTAGTAAATTCATGCTCATTAGTCACGGCTCAAAAGTTAGAAACAGTTTTTTTTAATAATTTTTATATATATATATTTTTTTCAAATTTTGATTGTTAACACACTATATTTTTCTATAATTCTTAAGTGAAGATAGCCCTTTAACTGAGCTTTTAAAACCATGTACTTTTCGGTAGCTAAATAAAACGGGTCAGCCGAGGGGGCGTGGCTTGTATATAGTGCCGTCATGTATAAAATAAATAATATTTATTTGACATTATACATTTACAACAGTGGCAGCACACAAGAAAGTGACGCGGTCAAACTCAAACTAATGAACAAAGAGGAAAACAACCGCTTAAAGCTAAACAAATGAAAAAACTTAACTAAAGAAAATACAATAATTATGGTGTCTACCAAAAAACATCACACTACTACACTGTGTGACCAATGAATTTAGCAAGGCGAGCAGGCTAAGGCTCAGTGGTGGTGCCAGGACCTGCCCGACGGAGGGGCTGAAGGCCCCGACGGGGAGGATGGGGGGGGGCTAGTGGAGCGAATCGAGTCTCACTTGGTGGGAGTCCATGGAAGCCACGGATATTTGATGAATTATGGCGAATTTTTATTACTTATTTGATAGGCATCGAGTTACTATAATATGACTTCATGTAGGCTATGCTTTCTAATGTTGAAATCAGCTTCCAAAACCGAAACATTTTGAATGAAAGAGCTTCCAAAACCAAAACATTTTGAATAAAGCAAGAAACAAAGAGTATGCAATGTAACCATCTAATTTATTATCAAATCCTCATTCTTGAAAGTGAAATTCTATATTTTGGAAATTTTGCATGAAATCTGTCAACCACGGTCGAGGTTGCTTCACCTATCACGATGTATTCCAACCATCATGAGGCTATCTAAATGAGCATTTGTCATGACAGAACGCAAATTATTTTTAATTAGTTTCATTGAATTATTATTATTATTATTATTATTATTATTATTATTATTATTATTATTATTATTATTATTATTATTATTATTATTATTATTATTATTATTATTGTTATAGTTATTGTTATTGTTATTGTTGCTGTGATGAAAAGTTATCACAAACAATATGGTGGCAAATTATTTTTAATTAGTTTCAATGAATTATTATTATTATTATTATTATTATTATTATTATTATTATTATTATTGTTATAGTTATTGTTATTGTTATTGTTGCTGCGATGAAAAGTTATCACAAACAATATGGTGGCTAAACGAATATAACATGTAAATATTTATTTTTATTTGTTTGTTCCCCGACAAACTTTATCGTGTTCCCCGACGGCTATAGCCCCAGCCCCCCCCCCCACCTCTGGCGCCACCACTGCTGAGGCTTAGCTTTAGTTTTCTTTTATGCTGCTGTTACGGGCGGGTGGGGGACGGTCAAGTCAATTTTCAGACGATTGGCCTAAGTAGTATGGACGTTCGTAGGTCTAGGCTCCCTCTAACTAAGCCTGGGCTAGGTCGGACCAGAAGGTCTTTTCAGTAGTCTGGGGCCTATTCCTAGATTGTGCGTCCAGCAACCAGCAGCAGTCCGTCTAGGCCACGCATGTTCATCGCGGTAAATTATGCATCTAAAGTATTTGATCTTTGTTTTCAGCTTTAAAACTCAACTCAATGATCAAAATACATATTAAAAAGGTGTGCATGGATGCTGTGTAGCTTAGTAGCCCTAGACCTGTCTATCGCATACAGTTATTACTGTTTTGGATTTCCTTCTAGCAGCGAGTTGTTATCCGTTGTTTCAGCAACCCTAGAGCAGGGTTATGAAGCTGGCCAAAAGAAATATTTAGCAATTTGACTAAATTCGGTATGAATAATAACTAGCCAAATATACTTAGACATCTGATTATCCAAAACAAATTAATATAAGTAATGATAACTTCGATTCCCTTGCTTTTTTAAATTTTAAATGAAAATATTTAGCAAAATTCAGCTTTTATGAGGATGGCTATTTGGCTTTTGACAGCTTAACACTGTTGGAGTATATGTTTGAAATATTTGTATAACATTGTTTTTAATTGATGTCAGGCAACATAAAAAATAAAGATAACATGACTGAAATGCACTGGCTTGCATCAGCGGTAGTTATTTATTTTTTATTGTTAATTTAGCCATAAAAATAATCTTATTAAAACATATAAAAAAAATTTTTAAAAAAACCTCGCATTCCGCATTAGATTTTTGGAAACAGGAGAGCTTTGAGACAAACAATGAGGTAAATATGTTTTTTTAAGTAAGCGAGAGACTTTATTGCCACAACATAGTTCTACACAAACGTGGATAAAATGATTTGTCCAAGGACACAATAATACTTCCAGACATTACATCATGGGACTAGTGATAAATCATTATATTTCCACCCTTTTTCCGGTTTAAGTGAATTTTAATAGCGGTAGCCGCCTAATAATAATAATAATAATAATAATAATAATAATAATAATAATAATAAATTGTTATTATTATTACTATTATTATATTTATTGGCATAGTAATAGTTAACATTTATGACGTCACCAACTATAAGAACATTAATACGTAGGCCGATATTTTAAGTTGCTTATTTTATTTATGTATTTATTTATTATTATTATTAATTATGAAATTACAATCTTGATGCTTGATAAATAAAAACAACAAACTTGAAAATACATAAAATAAATTTAAGTTTAATTACATATTGATACATAAAAATAAATTTAAAAAAATTAAATTTAAAAAGGTATAGCACCTGTTAATTATTGGCACTTACGTGACAAGTACTGTATTGCATTATCTATGAAAGTTTGAGTTGTTAATGTGATATTAATATCTTAATATTTATTTTATCCAGCATCTTTGTTGTTACATTCTTAAGGTATAAGGCATCAGGACTATCTATTATTTTACAGTTTTTAGAGTTTATTTTTGTTATATTCTGTCAAATTTGCAAACCATTCGACAGAGTTAAAAGTCATTACACTCTGAATTACACGAACAAAAAATAGCAGTAATTAAACGCATCATGGCTTACATTAAAAGACTTAGGGATTGGCTTTTTTGTAATATACAATGTGTTTTGTTTCCAGCTAAAATCTTGAAAACAATGAAAAAAGATAGAATAAAGGTGGGCTACACCGACGAAAGACAAAAAAGCTAAGATCTTTATCATTTATGGTACCAAGATATTTCATTTCCTCAACTATGTCTATCAATTTGTTATTAGCTACCGTACTATCTGGTCCATTTGATTTTTTTTCCTGAAATCGAAAATTAGCTCTTTAGTCTTGCTAGCATTCAACAATAAGAAACTATTATCTAATAATAATAATAATAATAATAATAATAATAATAATAAAAATTATTATAATAGTAATGATAATAATAATTAAGAAAGAAAGACAGAATGAAAAAGAAAACGATAGAAAAGACAAAAAAGTAAATATAAGAAAGAAGAAAAGAAATAAAAAGAAAGAATCATAAGAATGAAAGGGAAAGGATATTCAAGAACACCTACGTAAGAGTATAAGAAAGAAATGGAAGGAAAGAAAAGAAAGAAATATAAGAAAGGAAAGAAAATTAAACAGATAATAAAAGAAAATATGAAGAAGAGATATAAGAAAGGAAAAAAGAAAAGAACAAAACGTAAGAAAGAAAAGGCAACCTATGAAATGGAAAAGAAAAAAAATGACAAGAAAGAAAGAATTATGATACGAAAGAAATGATAAGATAAGATAAAAATGAAATATATATGAAAATGGATAAGAAAGAAAAGGAAAGAAAAGAAATAGAGTTTAAATAAAATCATAAACATAAGAAACAAAGAAACAGAAGAAAGATAAGGAAATATTAGAAAAGTGATAGAAAGCTAAAGAAATAAAGCCTAAGGAAATATAAGAAAGAAAACAGAAAGGAAAGAAAAGGAAACTATAAGGAAAACGTAAGACGAAAGAAAGAAAATGT